GCCAAACAGGAATATGTTCACGAGTGCGTAAAGATAAATTCCTTTGGGTACGACCTATATAACTAGTTCCACAGGAGCAGTTGAATTTATATATACACATTGATGTCGCCATTTTGGGCAATCTACCTTTAATGCACACTGTCAATATCGGTTTGGTTGAGAAAGTGACGTGTAGTTTTGCAGCATTAAAAGTTCTTTCAATTGGTCTCGCTAATCTACCGTTTAATATATCACTGGCCCTTGAATTGTACATTTAAGTAAAGCTTTTTCTTACTTACTGTGTCTCGCTTCGTTTTATGTGTAGTTTCATAGATACACTTCTTTACAAAGTTGGTAGGATAGTCGTTTTGTAGCAAGGCGTTTGTAGGATTTCTTATTTCATCTTCAATACAATCGTCGGTACACATGCCTCTAATTCTATGACTAAGACAACGTATTAGGTTGCGCTTATATTGTACAGGTATGAAGCTATGGAAGTGGGTGTATTGTCCGTTCCACGTCGCTATCCTATAGGTGTTTATCTTTAAGGTACCATCTGTTCTTTTTGTAAGAAGAGCATCCAGAAATGGAATACTATCTTGGAGTTCCTCTTCACAAGTGAATTTAATAGCTGGGTGTGCCTTATTAAAGACTTGGAGCAGGTGTTGTCTATCAGAAATAATGTTATAAATGATAAAAGTATCGTCAGCATATCGACAATATAAATTGAGTTGGTTTAGTATCTCTTTTAAAGGACCATTTTCCAGTTTAGATAGAAATATGTCAGCTAATAAGGAACCAAAGGGAGAACCTATAGCAACCCCATCTTTTTGGCGGTAATACTCCTTATTAAATACAAACTGAACGTTCATAGTGGATTTTAGTAGTAACCCTTTCAATTTTCTTGATGTGATTCCAATTTCTATTTTCTTTTCTACGAGTTGCTCGCATATGTAGTCGACAGTTTCTACAAGGGGGACGTTGGTAAATAGTGATGTTACGTCCAGCGACAACATAGTTTTGTCCGCTAGGTTCATATCTTTAATGGATTTATAACTGTAGAGCCTGAAGAAGAAGTTATCGAAAACAATTGTTCGCTCAAAATCTTGTTTTGATTTCAATATGGGAATTTTTCATTTACTGAAGTAGATAGGGTGGGAATCGAATCCGTGACCTATCCTCTGAAAACTGAGTGCTTAAGCCAATGAGTCACATCTCAAAACATGATCACAGAAAGATAGTATAAGACGTAAAGATGCTTTTAATGATAGTGATTTAATCTAAGAGTATTTATTACAGGGAGTTATGAGTTCAGTATTTACCAAGGTTGAGAAACTAAATTCACCAATAGTCAACTTATCAGAGTATGTACAAAACTTTCTAACTTATAGGTCTCATGTTCCGACATCGCTGTGTTTGAATCGTGGACACCAACCAAGTATTTTATAAAAAAAATACAAAATAGATCTGTGGAATTCATAAGAATCACCATCGGTTTGCTTTCCCAATAATAGAAATCGGGCAACACAATCCGACAAAGTCGGAAAACTGGAAGTCGACTATGCTATGTATAAATTAATTTTCATTCTTTTGCGCTCCGATTGGAACATACACTTCAAGCTACAACTTTAACGTTTCAGTAGAGGTGGCGTTACTTTTAAAGAGTTCGGGTGGCTAGCATCACACTTAACCTAGACTTACTTCAGGCTAGTAAACTGGACGACGTTTAGGGAGTACGTAAGCCAACCTGGACCACTTGTGTGTCTAGCGAACACTCTACCATTGAGTCACTGACCCACCCACTTATGTGCATGAAATAATTTTAACTGTAAATAGAACAGGATAGATTTTACACTATCTTTAATCTGTCTACCTTCCTTTTCTGTTTCTAATATATTTTTTTTAGGTTGTGTGGATATGTCAAAACATTGTTCAAAAAGAGTAGAACTATGCAAATTTACAATATATCGTTATCAATGTTGTGAATCATGTCAACGACATGTACAAATGATTTCATCTGTTAAAGATACTTTAAAACTATTTCAAAAGGAGGAATTCTCAAACGTACACTTTCGTAATGAATAAACACAGACACAAACAAACACATGCACGCACACACAAACAGAAAAAATGCATTTATTGAAAAGTACAAAGACAATAGAAGGAAACAATAACAACATAATAAAACAGTAGATGCAACTAATTATTGACATAATTGATTCACCTCAGGGTTTGGAGCAAATAACGATCAAAACAGATTCTTTGTTTTATTCACCATCTTCTCTTCTTTTTTGATTCTGATATAAAAATGACTGGTACTATTACTATTACTACTATTTTATATCTAATCTCATCTCATTCGTATTCGCATTTATACATATATGTAGACAAAAAAGAAACACACTTTTACGGCAAACCTATTTAAGCACAATCAAATCTTAATCAAACAACAACCGGTGCCCACCCAGCATCCGTCTAAACTATGTCCTCTCTACCGCCATCCCCCCCCCATGATCCATCGAACTAAATGTGCTCAAATGACAATACAGATAAAACAAGTACTATGTACGCGAATAAATTTAAAAAAATAATAACCATTATTGATATATACACATTATTCCTTTGAAATCAGAAAAGAAGGCTAACTTTCTTTTCCAGAAAACGATGAAATTAAACTTGAAGAGCAGATTTTATTCACTATCATGCATTACACAAACACACACACCTACACACACAAACACGCATACACATGCACACACAAACCACACCTGTTTGTACAAATTGTACATACAAGTCTAAGTATGAGAGTGAGAGAGAGACCAATTTATATTATTTATTACTTTTTATTTAACAAAAGATTTGTCAAACAAACGAGAGTTTTACTCCATACTTACACACATACAGTTCTACATAGGAGACAAAATCCACGCAGACAACACACGCACGCGCATGCACAATACACAGTAAAGCAAAACCAGAGTAATATTAAAAGACATTTTCTTGTTTCCAATGCAGACTACTATTACTACTACTATATTAATAATACTACTTATTATTGTTGTTATTATTATTACTATAATTATTGCATAATTGCATCACCAAGTGTTTTGAAGTATTTCAAAATTACATGAGAGAAAAAAAAGACAGTACAAAAAGCAGCCAGTAGCTGACGGTAAAGGAGTTTACGCACAAAGTTGAAAAAAAAGACACACCACACACGAACATATTATATACAGGCTGATATAAACATATACATATTATAATAATGATACAACAACATAACATGAATTAGTAATGAGAGAAAATATTAACAATACTCTATGTCAAGAGTTCATATCGCTTTAATCAAAAATAATCAAAGCAAGCATGTAAACAAATTGACTTACTTACTGTTGTTCTGCATACATATGTTGTTTTCTCCCTCCTATGTTCACTTTTGTTTGTTTGTTTTTTATCATGCTTCTATTATTATTATTATTACTACTGTTGTCATTATTACTATCGAACCGATCGATGGTAATGCTATTAATTGTAAGTTATTCAGCTACTGAAACACGATATATACACATATAAGAAAATATGGTTAAAAAAAAGGAAAATATACACCTTTGTAGAGGAAAAGGAAGAGTCGGGAGTGATTTTAGATGAGAAAAAATTACTTCATACGTTTGGTTCCCTTGATAAACTTCGACAAAGAAAGGAAGAAGACAAAATTTCCAGTATAAAATAATATCATTCTATTTCACAGGTTCACATCAACTGCAGGCTGCCTGAAATTACAATGGCTATATAAATGATAATAATATACTTTAATGTTTGAGTGGTGGTAGAGAAGAGATACTATAAAAGTGACGCATCCAAAATGAAAGCATTACAATTTTTTAGTTTTCATCATCAATTTATACGCTTTTAAAGTTGAAAAGAGGGGAGGGGCGAGGGGTAAGACAGAAAAAAGAAAAAATTGATTAACAGAACAGTGTTAGTTCATATGATCGTGATCAAGATTTGACCGGAAAATTGAAAAATAATTGAGCGCCGAGTGAGAAGTTGATGCCTGTTTCATGGTTCATGATTGGACAAAGTTTCAAAAACAAGAGATGTTCCTTTTATATTATATATATATATATATATATATATATATAATTTCGATTAATGTCCCTGAAGAAGTTCGGACCAGATTGCCGAACGAAACGTTGGAATTAATCATTTCAATTTTGCCGAGATTTTACAAATATAATTTTTATAAAAGAACAGTGTTAGCTTGTAGGTTCATATAGCAACTCAAAAAACGAAAGCGGTTACAGTTTATGAGATTAAGATTTGTTCAGTGAGTTGAGATCACTGAATTAGATGATTTCAACTCACTGAACAACTCTTAATCTCATAAACTGTAATCGCTCTCGTTTTCGGAGTTGCTATGTGAACCTACAAGCTAACACTGTTCTGTTAATCAATTTTCTCTGTTTTCTGTTTTACCCCTCGCCCCTCCCCTCTTTTCAACTTTAAAAGCGTATAAACTGATGATGAAAACTTAAACTAAAAAAATTGCAATGCTTTCATTTTCGATGCGTCAGTTTTATAGTATGTTTTCTCTACTACCACTCAAACATTAAAGTATGTTAACATCATTTATATAACCACCGTAATTTCAGGTAGTCTGCAGCTGATAAGAACCTGTGAAAAAGAAAAAAATTACCCTTCTGGTATGATTAACAAGTGGCTGATTAAAAATACAAATTGAATTTTTTAATTTCCGAAATTGTGAATCTGATTTAATGCGTTACCAGTTCGACCAATTAGTTAGTTAGAGATCGGGTGTTTTGAATTGATTCAACTGTCCGACCTGAACCAAATTGGGTGTAATACTGCTGATGAGCCTGACTAGAAAAGAGCGACATCACAGTGCAGGGTTTAGATCACCTCAATGTAGCCAGCAAGAACTACTGATTGATACAATTGGTATATAACACCTCATCTCAATCAATCACTAGTATGTGGTCTTACGAAATGCCTGGAATTTAGGGGTATATTGTCTAATTGGACAATAGATTCCATTTTAATGAGTCATGGTGCTCGCACACTTACACTGTTAGGAGAACCACTACTTGTCAAATCAACTTTGATCACGGTCTGTTATCAGTTAGAGAGCCACTGTAAAACAAGGGATACTAGACAGCCTCGTCGTTCGAGTTTGGGACTTGTCAGCAGTACGCATCTAGGACCCTACGGAGGATCGAACCCAAGACGCTCAGGTTATGAGTCGATTGTAAACTGATAGATAACTATTACCATAGAGTCTTCGATACAGATTTTCTCGACATTCTCTTTTGCATAGACACTGCTTTTCTAAACCTTTTCAGCAGAATAGGCAAAAGCCTCTAGTTGCATTTTATACGCATAGAACTCTTCAGTACTGCATGTTCTAATTACATATTGTCTTCAGCAAATAGTTGCATCCAAGTGCTTTCAGGAATGCGTCCCAATTTTGATCACAGATTAACATCAGTTAAAGGGCCATTGGAAACCAGGGAGTACTGCAGCTGTTTTTTTCCATAGGTGTTTACTGTCGAAGAATGTCAAACTGAAACAAAACGGCTGTCTAGGACTCCGTGGTTTGCGTTGGTTCTCTGACTAATATCGATTCGTGAACAAATATGAAACCAATTAAATCCCTACAAACTAAAACTTGAAAATTGCGAAATTACTGACCAACCGACAGTCACAGTTTCTGTCTATTACGATATAACACAAGCCTGGTTAATTGCTTATTCAAGAGGATTCACAGTGTTTGTTGTAGATAATGACGATAAAATATTGATGGATACAACTGTTGATAACGCATAACCTTCGAAGTTTTCAAGCCAGTGTAGAGATCAGATTGTCTCAGAGCCTATGAATTTATTCCGTCCTAAAGAAAGATATCTACATCAAAGACCAAATCCAGACACCTGTAAAACTTACTACGCATCCCGGCTTATAATTATCAAAAGAAAAGCCAGAAACATGTTTAACCACAAGCATCAACGTTGCACAAGTCATTATTTAACATTCCATACTGTGTAGCATTTTATATGCAAGTAGGTGTGGTCACACATACATGGTGGGTAGTAATCGTGCTTTGCATATAAGGGTGCGAGAACATATGCTATTAACTGTGGACTGCTTCAGTCTCTGAACAATCAGAATTTCCATCCATCAAACTGCTCAAACCTTTCTATATTTCTTATTGTTTCAATCAAGGAATTATATCAAATGATCAATAAATGAATTCGTGCACACATTCAATTAGTTTCCAACAGAATGCTGTGTAATTCTTGAAGGAAATGAAGAGAAAATGTACAGAATCGGTTTTCCCGTGGTATGCAATAATACTACTTCACATGATATACTTCAGATCATTACGTTAAATGTAAATCCTTTATGAAGAGGAAATATTTTGGAACAAAATACGTTGAAGATGACTCTTTCACTTTCTTCTTGAAGTGCACAGTAATAGTTTAGAAGCCAATTAAAGATTTGTATGACCTCATGCAGCGATTAAAATGATATAATTGAAAGATTAACACAAAAAGAAACGGAGAAAAGCAGATGCACTATGCTGGATGGAAATTTAAGTAGCCCAGTAGTTCAAGCAAGTCGCCAATGGCAGTCTAACTGCTAAGTGAATGGAAATGCAATTGATTGCTGTATTGTGTTACACCAGAACTCCGTTACCCACACTTATTGTGTGTGAAGTTTGATGATGCTGCCCATCTGCTCAGGCGGAAGAAGGTGAAGCATGACTCGAAACCAGGACCTACTGGGTGGAAATCGAGTACTCACACACAAATTACCTACACATCTCAGTAACTGATTACCAAGAACCCACATACAGGAATATACTGAACACAAACACCATCGCTTTCGCTCGTATACCCTCTCCTTCATGAAAATTATTGATTAAAAGAAATGAAAACGACTTGTACAGAAAAAGGTGGCATGTGACTAACTAGAACATTTATAGGATTGAGTATTATTCTTTTGTGTTGTATGCACATGTACAAAGAAACACAAGAGTATAAAAAAAATCAACAATATAATATAATCATAATAATTCATAAAAATGATTGTGATATTGTTTGTTATAATCACATGGAGAAAAACTTAGCAGTAGCAATAATAGTAATAATAATAATCACAATAATGACATATAGAATCTCAAATAAACAGCAATCAATTGCGCATCATCATCACATTTAAGGAAAAATACCCAAAGGAAATTACTTAGTCAAATGTAAATTTATTAACAGTGTAACGCACCACCAGTGAAGGCAAGTAATAATCAAAAATGAGAAAGAAAATAGCAAAGGAGAGGACACAATAGTTTAAAAGATAAAAAAATTTAGCCACATAAATTATTTGGTTAGGGATAGCGCAGACTAGGTAATCGAAAAAGGCTACGAAAACGAGCCTTCATCGCTTCAAAATGCTCTCTTTATGGAAATAGAAGAGAAATAGATTTAATGTTCTTTCTTCTTCTCTGTAAATAAAATAAGAATATTTTGGAGTTTTGCATTAGATTATTGTTGTCATTATTTCGATTGACTAAGAAAGGAAGGTGCAGTGAATAATGGTGTTCCACTTTGAATTCTATGCGTAGGTGTGAGTGTGTGTATGCAGGACGAGATAATGCATCAGTTAAAAGGAATCACAATAAGAGGAACAAAAAATGCGAAATATTGCATGAAATGAATCTCATATAAAGTAGCTTTTTTTTCTCTTCAAGAAATACACAGAAACAAGACTGATTATTACATAATATATGAAGGAGTAATCGTGAAAGTGATGGAAGACCAGGTGGTGGTGGTGGCGGCGGCGGCGGCGTGATAACATAATGGGAACAAATAGAAGAAATAAAGACAAAGTCGAAAAGCAGAGTAATGTACGATTATTATGAAAATGTTTGCCCATTTACAAACAAAAAAAAAACAAAATTTCTTGTCAAATCAAAAATACAAGAAAGTTGGCACTGAGAAGGAGAACACTAGAGTTTAATAGCTGATTTGATAGCTTTAGCAATGCGAAAATCCTATGGAGATTGAATTCTAAAAGTGTTGAAAAAGTAAATGTAGGAATAATAATAATTATTATTATTATGACAATAATGAAACTTAGATAAAACCAAAACATAATTTATAAAACTAAAATAGAGAAAATATTCATTCAAACATTTAGAAAAAACAAAAAATTGAACAAAGAATATCTCTTTCGACAATTTCCTTTTCTGGCTCTACAATTATATATATATATATATATATATATATATATAATATTCTGGAAAAGTAGTCATTAACAAATACTACCTATTTGTTAAGTATTGCTATTATTTTATCCTTCACGTTCACCAGTGGAACATAGGGCCTCAAGCTAGTGGCTTGAAGTTTCTGTAGCAGTGTTTGATTTTCACAGGATGCGGTTGCTAGCCTCATGCCCAACCTTTCCTCTTTAAAAGCATTATTTCTGGCTTAGCGAGGTAAAGGAGTGCGTCGGCCGGGGATCGAACCCTGGACCATGTGCATGGTCGGCGAGCGTCCTAACCGCTGTGCCACCGACGCACATTCGTTAAGTAAGATCAACGGAATTACAGATGCATGAATAAATTATAATAAGCATAAACTTGTAATGACAAATAAGAATATCAAATTAAATTAAGAATATTTCCACAACAAATTGAGGATCATTAAAATCTTGATGGTGAAGGTAAGCAAAGCGTCTGAGCCAGTTTCTTTTGGATACATAAGTTAAGTTTCTTAATGTGGATGACAACGGTCTCAGCAATATGCACTAGACGAACCCTTAAGGTGAAGTTAAGATTTGTTGACATGCGGTAAATGACATTGAAAGCTTCGTTGACATCAATCGTGTGTTCTGTATCCACAAGATGAGATAGAATAGAGTTGTGAATAGATTTTGTTTATCCTTTACTTAACCACGAAGGGCGATTTTCAGAAATCCGACGAGAAACACGCCGGATTGTATGACCTGCGTAACTGGCTGCACAGAAGCTGAGGGTGTTGTCATCAACACTGAGAAACCTAACTTATGTATCCAAAAGAAACTGACTCAGACGCCTTCCTTACCTTCACCATCAAGATTTTAATGATCCTCAATTTGTTGTGGAAATTTCCTTAATTTAATTTGATAGCCTATTTGTCATTACAAGTTTATGCTTAATATAATTTATGCATAAATTATATATATATATATATATATATATATATATATATATATATATATATATATATATATAATTGTAGAACCAGAAAAAGAAATTATCGAAAATATTTTGTTTTTTCTAAAAGTAATATGCTTTGATTTTTCTCAGTTAATGAACTTGAATAAAGCGAAACAGATAAACTGAGCAGAATAACGCGATATTTATTTTATTCCCTTGATTCTTGGTCGACTGTAAGACAATAATCCAAAACAATTTTTAACACTATCACATATACAAAATATTTATATACTTTAGTTATTGAGCATAAAGATGAAGGCCATTAATACTACATAATTTAAATGCTTCAGTGAAAAGGAACAGAAGTTAGTACATATTAAAATAGTCACAAGAATATTCTACAGTTAGGAAGGCAAGTTGCAAGTTGATTGATGACAGATGTGTATCTGACAACACAAGTTACGCAACAGTTAAATTGTTTACCTGAGCAAAGGTCGAAAAATGGTCAGGTCAAGAGTACGAAATAAAAACAAAAGTAAGTGTATGAAATTACCTTGTAAAACTAAGGTATATAGCTAAAACGGTATCATATATACTCCCCATAGCAGGATTTCCTCCTGAATTCGCATAATACTGAACCCATTGACTTGGTAGTGATGCATTTGTTTTCAGGTAAATCAGCCTGTATATAGTCTAATCATGTGATGCGACTATACAGTCGCTCTCCACCCCAGTTGTTAATCTCGCCCTACCATGATGAATATGTGTCAATGGAAGTGAACATTGAACGTTGGTTTATTGTCCTTGGTTGCCATTGGTGGGCAACTCGAAGACGCGAATGGTTCCACCGTGTACAAGTTCGACGAAGACGAACGAAAACGATTAAAAGTATATAATAATTTCGTATAAAACATTCGTTTATAGACTTGTATTATTCTTCGCTTTAATTGCCAAACAATATAACTTCCTTCTTACAATATTGGTGTTTTGGAGTTAAAGTCGAAGAAAGTACATAGTATTTATCGGTGCGGAGCGTCTTCGTAACAATAGGAACTTAGGTTCCTTGACAATACGTTTGATGCAACTTTGATTTTTCTTATTTTGTCGTATTTTGTTTTAACAAAGTATTTACATACCCTCCATTTTGTTTTATTTATACTTTTGAACTAGTCATTCTTAAACCTCTCCCCTATAGCTAAGTTATCTATCCCTAACGTAACATATGCTGTCAGTTTAACGTATTTAAACGGTTAGAAACTCTAAAATAGTCACATAATTATTTCAATATATACTAACATACTTAATGACAACTTCTCCTCATTTCCATTGTTGTTTTTTTTTATTTACAGCTTGATTCCACACTGTATTTTTGGTACAAGTATGGAATTTTCAGCATGGATATCGGTAGCCCAAATTTTGCAGGCCGACCATAGATATCAGGTGTGCGCCGGCGTGGGCTCGAACCCCGGACCATGTGCATGGTCGGCGAGAGTCCTAACCACTGTGTCTGTTTTCAACATAGAACTTTGCACGATGTTCAGCAGTTCAAGTCGCCACACTCCATGTAGCACACAAAGCAACAGAAGAAACCAGAAATGCATAATAGGGATAGTAAACAGAGATAATAACGAAGAACGATATAGTTTCATTGGAAATCATAAGTCACAAGGAATGGATGCACCTGCTCCAGTGAGAACCATTTTGAGGCATATCACCAATTATTTCCAGCCATTGGTTTTCACCGTCCCGAGGACCCCAAGTCTGCACCTTCCTACATGGCTGACTTAAACTGACTGTTGTGGATTTCATTGACTGATGAAGCCGTGTTTTGGTTTGACCTCCACTAGCTCTTTTCCTACTTGACTCTATGTCAGCTAACATTGACCGTCGAGGAGAGTGATGGCTAGACAGGTATGCGTAACACATGTCCTAACCATCTCAGTCGATGTAGCTTCACGGCCTCGTCGATTGATTTCTCCTCCTTACCTAGAACTCGACGCCTAACCTCAATATTGCTCACCTTATTATGCCACTTTACACGGGAAATAGAGCGCAGGCACCCATGGTCAAAGACAGCTAGTTTTTTCATGCCTTCCACTCTCAATGGCCAGGTCTCACAGCCATGAAGGAGGGTGGAGTGGACTGATGAGCAGTACACCCGCCCTTTGGTCGGTAGCCGGATATCACGTCTACGCCAGAGACGGTGTAAACTGGCATATGCGAAACCAGCCCTCTGTATCCGCAATATTAGTGGTCCCCAGCTTCAGGCTCAAAGGTTAACACCTGTGAATATTTTATACACTGGTGACAGACTGTCATACAGCTGACGAAGATAAACGAGATAAAACGATAATTTCATGCTATCCTGGTCAATTTGTTGTCTTTGCTTTGTGAAACTATCTGAGACTATTACTGATACAATGGATCACGACTAAAGGTGAAATGAAAATCTGGGGGTAGTGGTGGGATTAGAACCGCCTACCTGCAAATCGTTAGTGCAGCGATTTACCAGCTGACAATTACGAGAACGCATTGTGTTAACCAGTCATCGTTTCATTGCAATCATCACGGGTGTTCCCCGAATGTTATTTGAATGTAAATGATACCGTACTGTCCGCTTATCAACATCATCATCAAACTATCTGTCCATTCTAATCACACAGAATTACAACAGCAGCGGGTTGCTAATTAAAATAAGATTGCCCTATATCAATTACGAAAATTTTCATTAAACTTCTGTATAATCAAACTTGCAAGGATCTAAATAAGAATTTGTCTCAGTGTAAACGTCATACCAGAATACAAGTGCCAGCGAATCGACTACGGTGACCGTCTCCTACAGTTCTGCTCTGATAATCATTTGTTTCTTGTAAGCACTAACTTCAAACACAAGAAGAGACACTGTTTGACTTGGAGACCCCCTTCATCAAACCAACGCTGGACACAAATTGACCACATAGCAATACGCTATCGTTGGCGTGGGTCGGTAGGAGATTGTCGCTCCTTCTGGAACACGTGTGTAGATACCGATCACGCACTGGTCCGCACTCGGGTGTGCTTACGACTGAACGGACGTAGGAAACAGCTGGCGGTAAAACCATCACGTCATCAGCTCGATCAAGAAACTAAATCCGTATTTGAGGAAGAACTAGCTAAACACATTTCTGTGTTCGACAGCTGTGGTCACCCTGGAGAAGCTTGGAAGAATATCCAGGCAGCCATAGATACAGCTATAAAAGCTGTGAATAAGGTAAACCCAAAGGTGAGTAAAAACCACTGGATCTCCACCGCCTCATCCGAACTGATAGATGCTAGAAGACTTATTCCGGCGGGCTCCGAATTCAATGAGGAGCGAAAGCTGCACAAAAGGAAACTTACGAAAAGTTTCTGCAAGGACCGTGAACAGTGGTGGGTGACAAAGGCGAAAGAGATGGAAAAAGCTACGACGATATGCAACACCAGGCAACTATTTAGACTCATCAGGGAAACGGGTTGGAGAAGGCAAATCATAAGTGAAACAATCTCGGAGAAAAATGGCACCATAATTAGCTCCCAGGATAGACGACTGGATCGCTGGAAAGAGCACTATGAGCAGCAGTTTAATTGGCCCACAGCCACGCTCAACCTGCCGAACATCCAACATCTCCCTGAATGGGATATAAACACAGATCCTCCGTCCCTGACAGAAGTAACTAAAGCTGTCACCAATCTGAAACTAGGCAAAGCAGCAGGACCTGATGGAATGACTCCAGAGGTATTTAAGTACGGTGGAGACAGTTTACTGTCTGCATTAACTGAGGTACTAGGCAGCGTCTAGGAATCAGAAAAAGTCCCATCGGGTTGGGGTAAGTCACTGATTATCCCCATATACAAGAAGGGAGACAAGTCTTCCTGTGGTAATCACAGAGGGATTAGCTTGACTAATATAGTATCTAAAGTCTTAGGCTCAATAATCATGCGTAGACTAAGTGGGGCTCGGGAGGCACAAACACGAGAGAGCTAGGCAGGCTTTAGACCAGGAAGAGGGTGTATTGATCATATCTTCACCCTCCGACAGATTCTAGAACATAGGAATTACTACCGGCGTCCAACAGTCATTATATTTCTTGACCTAAAGGCGGCATTCGACTCTGTCGACCGAGAAGTTCTCTGGAGATGCTTGGCTGTAAAGGGAATTCCGAGAAAATATATCGCACTGATTAAGGCACTCTACTCGTACTCATACAGCCAGGTGAGGGCTTACGGCGAGCTGTCATCTGAACTGATGACGACTAGCGGTGTCCGTCAAGGATGCCCATTATCCCCATTTCTATTCAACTTCATCATAGATGTACTAATGGACTTAACCCCAAGTGACTTCAGCCACTCAGGGATTGACTTGCTACCAGGAAATAATCTCGTTGACTTAGAATATGCAGATGAAATAGTCCTTCTAGGCGACGACTCTGACAAAATGCAGAGTCTTTTAAACACCTTGAGCCGCAATCTACGAATGTTTGGCATGCGATTCGCTCCCGCCAAATGCAAGATGATGTTACAGGACTGGACTACATCGACGCCTAGTTTAAAAATAGGAAGTGAAGTGGTAGAGCACGTTGACCGCTTCACTTATTTAGGAAGAACCATCAGCCCCAACGGGTTGATATTTGATGAAATCTCAGCACGAATACAGGGACTCGTTTCGCATTTGCCAGTTTACACCGTCTCTGGCGTAGACGTGATATCCGGCTACCGACCAAAGGGCGGGTGTACTGCTCATCAGTCCACTCCACCCTCCTTCATGGCTGTGAGACCTGGCCATTGAGAGTGGAAGGCATGAAAAAACTAGCTGTCTTTGACCATAGGTGCCTGCGCTCTATTTCCCGTGTAAAGTGGCATAATAAGGTGAGCAATATTGAGGTTAGGCGTCGAGTTCTAGGTAAGGAGGAGAAATCAATCGACGAGGCCGTGAAGCTACATCGACTGAGATGGTTAGGACATGTGTTACGCATACCTGTCTAGCCATCACTCTCCTCGACGGTCAATGTTAGCTGACATAGAGTCAAGTAGGAAAAGAGCTAGTGGAGGTCAAACCAAAACACGGCTTCATCAGTCAATGAAATCCACAACAGTCAGTTTAAGTCAGCCATGTAGGAAGGTGCAGACTTGGGGTCCTCGGGACGTTAAAAACAAATGGCTGGAGACACTTAGTGATATGGCTCAAAATCGATGCACCCACTCTTTCTAAGTTTTAATATCCAATAAAACTATATTGTTCTTTCATATTACTATTCTTTTTACCTCATATCTCTGTTTCGAATCTCTTTTTACTTTCTTCTTTGGCTTTGTGTGCAAAGTGAAGTGTGACGACTCGAACAGCTGCACATCGGTGCAAATTTCTACACTGAAACCAGTCAGTTAGTTATTTACAATCTTCGGAAAAGCCAACAATTTTTTAAAAACTTCAGTTAGTGACACATTATAGGTGCAGTCGTGTGTATGATTCATCAGTCAAGGCACTCCACTGTCAGTCACTGCGGTCACAGTTTCAAATCCTAGTCCACCTGCTGAGGTTCGGACAACCAGCCAGTAACACTAGTCAATATTCAAAAAATTAGACTGATTGTCAAGCGGTTCCTTCGTAAGTGACTGATAAGTGATGGCGGAATAATTTAAACGATGCATGATTTATTTTATTCTTATTTTTACAGATAATTTATTGGGAATAGTACTTCAGAAATAGAAAACTTACAAATCGTCGTAAGACGGGGGTGGAATGCTGCGAGAATGATTGCTGATATTAGTTCTTAGGATGCGTGGGGAATTCTCAGATACACGAGGTTGTATTTCTTCCTCAATACGACAGTTAACCTGGGCAGGAATACAATTATTAGCTGCATATTCAGAAACGGGCCGAAGTTTCTTCTTCACTTTTCCATTGCCCAGTTTTGACGGGATTTTCGGTTGTCTTATTCTAACATGATTGAATGACTCACTTGTTGAGGGGATAAGGACACTATTAGGTCTGGGCTGTGAACTTCTAGATCTCGGCATTCTAGAAATAAAACAGAGAATAAGCAAACATCAAGATTTGGATTCACCACACTTCACGTTAACAAAGTGAATACATCGAAAATCAATCATCACAAGGACTGAAGATTCTAAAAGCGTGATTTAAACACCACAGTTTCACAGATGAAATTTTTCATGCCACCATTCTTCACTGAACACATATCAAACGCCATTGTCGGGAAAAGGATTATCATATATGAATAAAAAAAGATTCACCTGAATCATCAATAAGTAGAACTGATGAAATTATATTTCAGAAGGGACAGTATAAATTAATGATATTTGGTGCCAAATATACCTACACTGACCTTTGATAAAAATTGTGCTGTTGCAGAAATTCAATATTCATATCACCAGCACCAGAATCGATTGGTTGGATATCTTCAGCAGTTTTGCTGCCACCAGGAACCGGAAGAAATGGCAATTCGACTATCGACGTTGGGGAGTTAACTTGAAGTCTCCTTACTTCTCGACTGGGACGTAGTATTGGCAACGGTGTTTGGCGTGCATTCGGTGGGGGGAAATCCAATGGACTTAGAGGGGCGGTGGGTAGGATGCAAGTTCTTTCAGACGTTGGTGGACATCGTATAACGACTTCAGCACCTTTAGGCCTACGAGACCATCCCCATGGAGATTGAAAACGACGATTACTTGCTGGTGGATTAGGTGATCCAAGCCATCTTAGAGGGTGACTCGTAACAGTCCATATGACAGGATGATCAACAGCTTCAGGACTTATATGGTTCGATGTTAAAAATGGAGGTAAGGTGGGTTTATTACGATCTATACTGTGTGCACGAGCGGTTGGAGTACTTACAGAACAGACTTTGACGAAAACGATCATACCAATAATAACTGCTACGCTGATAAGAATAACAGCCCACCAATGAATCTATGAAAGAAGAAAACGGGAGCAAAATGTGACTTTCGCATATATACTAGAAAGTTATGACGATTACAACTATTTTGAGAATTAGGTGATATACTATCTGTAACTCTATACGTGAACTCACTGTTATCCATGTTTTGACTTTTTGTAACATTTGTGGACTGAATATTAAATTTCTTAGTCTAGCAAGTGGACCTTCAGCATCAACTGAAACACAGCGCATGAAGACATCACAGTAACCCCGGTAATTATCACATGGAGCTCCAGGCGGTAACTTAGTACCACGTCCATTGCGTAAGAGTTCAGCGACCAATTGTGGGTATTTCGCTCTCAAAGTTGAATCCTGTGTATAATACAAGACATAGTGATAACAGTAAAAGTAATAAAATTCATATCAATCATAACAAGAAAAATGCGATTCAGCAATTATAGGTAGGTAGGTCAGAGCACTGAACCATGAACATGCATTTACGTGTCTGGCATTATATTAATTGGCTACTGAAACTACGTTAGACTGAGGGTTGACAGTATCTGAAGTTAAGGAGTTTCAGATCTATAAGACAGTGACATGCTGAAAGAAAAATAAAACAGCACATAGATCACATTCCCTTATTAAATGAAATGAACGTATAAGAAACAAATCAGAAAGTAATATAAGTATCTTTTTCCGTCTACTGTCTCTGTCTGGATTCAACATAGAACTTGGCACCGAAGTGCAGCAGTTCGAGTTGCCACGTTCCAAATAGCACACAGAGGTAGACAAGAAGATGAGTGAAGAGAATCAATACAGTCTGACAAGTATAAGAGTGAAACAGAATGGGTAATGGTAGAAAGGAATATGAAAGATTACAGAGACTGAATACATCTGCGCTGGCCATTGACAACGATTTTGAGCCATGTCACCTATTGTCTCCAGCCATTGATTCCTAGAGTCCCGAGAACCCCAACCCGGAAGTCTGCATCTCTCTACCTGACTCAGTTTAACTGTCAAGGATTTCATGGATTGATGCCATGTTTTTGTTTGGCCACCACTGTCTCTCTTCCAACCTTCACCTATATCAGCTAGCAATGCCCGTCGGGGGAGGCGGTGGTTAGGCATGCGCAGCACGTGACCTAGCCATCTTAGTCTATGTAACTTTATAGCCTCGTCGATTGATTTTCCCTCTTTGCCCAACACTCTACGCCTAACGTCAACATTACTTACCTTATTATACCACCTAACGTGAGAAAGAGATCGTAGACATCTATGATCAAAAACAGTCAACCTTTTCATGTCTTCAACTCGTATTGGCCATGTTTTAGAGCCATAGAGAAGGACGGAGCAAACTGCTGAGCAGTACACACGTCCCTTGGTTGATAGCCGGATGTCACGCCTACGCCAGAGATGGTGTAGGTCAGTGAAAGCAGCTAGAGCTTTTCGGATCCGTGCTGATATTTCGTCGCCAATCAGTCCGTTGGTGCTGACACAACTTCCCAAATAGGTGAAGTGGTCAACATGTTCTATCACTTCACTCCCTATCATTAAGCTAGGAGTTGACGTAGTCCAGTCCCGTAGCAGCATCTTACATTTTGCAGGGGCGAATCACATGCCAAACATACGAAGATTGCTGCTAAAGGTGTTCAGAAGACTCTGCATTTTGTCAGCATCCTCCCCTAACAGGACTATGTCATCTGCATATTCTAAGTCCATAAGACTATTCCCTGGTAACAAGTCGATTCCTAAGTCGTTAAGTTCATCTAAGGATACTTCCATTAGCATATCTATGATGAAGTTAAACAGAAATGACGAAAGTGGACATCCCTGCTGGACACCACTGGTTGTTATCAATTCAGATGACAATTCCCCCATAAGCCGTCTACAGAATAAAAATAAGGTAACATAAAAATAAAGTCCACAATATATAAATCAATTTGAGGTATTTCAAGTTAGTAAGTTGTTTTGTTTTGTTTTTGGAGTCATAAATACAGTTGTTATCGAATTTCAGTAGCTATACACACAAACTACTTGATTAGTGAAACTGAGGCTTAATTAGATATCTTAGTTTCAATTAATACAGCTTAATCCGTCACTACAGCGGTTTGAAGTCGTGTAAACTAGAACACAGTAAAAATAATGCCAAGTCAGTCTTAAGGGATTCCACCTTTTTATATATCAACTAGAAGTAGTGCTAGATTATCACTGTACACAAATATTACGGAAATCATAGTCCTTATTCTAATAAATCAGTTGGTATTGCAAAGAAACGGTAACACGATAGAAAAACTAAAGAAGATATAAAAAGGAGCAACATCATAGAGATAACTAACAAGCCATCCTGAAGCAATCACTAATAAGTGTCTCAAACGCAAGTTAATATGTGTGATTTAATAGAACATAATACAAAATAACTAACTAATTCTCCAATCATCTAAATCAATATAAACAGCAGTTCAATGTGTTTGCTTTATCGCATGATTATGACTAATCTCAGAAACATAATCACCTCGAGAGCAAACAAATCAATTTAGCTTTCTCATACGTTCAACAAAAATACAAAATGATTTGCAATTGTTGAATAGGAAAGCAGTAATCACGAGAAAAAATCCTACGTCATTGACAATATCGTATGAACTACCAAATATCATGATATTAACATATACTTTATTGTATTCAGACACACTTAGGCTCAGGTGTTGACGACAAAAAACAAAGTGCATTCTGAATGAAAGCCAAAAGACTCTTTCTAGATATCTGAAAAACTGGAAATTTTTCCAGAGTATTAAATTACCATTTCGCTATATCGCAGGTAATTCAGCGAATGGAGTACTTCGAATAATCTACAACATGCATAATCCTGTTATCTTGTACCAAATGATTCTCGAAAATGATAGCAATGCTGCCCAAATACCCAAGGCTTTGCGAAATCATTCTTCAGTGATCATGTGTTCCAACCACACACTAGGTTAGAAACTCAATGACTAATTCCATGTCGTTTGCAACACAAGTAAGACAGATTGTCGACACTGTATTTTTTTGTGATTTCGTCGAACCCCAAACCAAGAAGGTTGGTTGGACTTCCCAAGTAAATAATAGAATCAACTGCAACAGTTAAAACTGAATCCACTTCTAGTGAATAGTAGACTTTACTCTAACAAGTGCTCCATGATACTACTATATAATAGTACATTATTACAGATAATTAACCATGAAGAGATGCAAATATAGATTTTAGTATATAGAGGCCCATGCAAGTGCCAAGATCTCTATATAAAAATTCTGGATGTAATGGCTGACTAGTGTGTGCAACGGTTACAAACAATTGTATAAAATCATTTACAATAAATGACACCGAAAAGCTCACTGTTTCTAGTTGAAAAGTACTTATGCATGGGGCACCAGAAATATTCTGTTTACAAGCCACAAAACACATTAATTCGGGGGTGACCTTTTTATCTCGAGTCAACGAGCACTCATGCCAACCAGGAATACGCTCACAGATTGAACCAATGCATTGACCTTGTTTACAAACACGTGTGTTGTCCTGGAAAAAAAAAGAATTATTAAAATTAATGACTTTTAATTGTGATATATTAGTAGATATTGAACAATAACGAATTGCGATTATAGATAACTATACATTGAAAAGGCCACCTCAAATAAGAAAGTCGCTAGTGAAAATTGTAAGAAATAATCACAAGAAATGCTCGTTATAGTTAACAAGATATAAGTGCTAAGTGTGTGGAGGTGGTTGGCAAAAAGTCTCAGATTCAGGTTTCTTGCCTATTAAAACAAGTCAGAAACCTGGATGGAATTAATGTGGCCACAGAAATCAACCAGTCACGCCATCAGGCGTTACCAGTGAGCTATTCTGGTTGTAATCAGTCTCCTGTGGGACTTAATTGCATAGTCAAACTGATCGACTACGAATAAGCAATATCATGCCTTCAAGACATCAGGGCTGACTGAATTTGAAAGGTCGGTTGCATCAAACCGTATCATATCGATATAAAATGTACTACGATGACTAGTCTCCCAGATTGGTAACCACAGTGAGAATCTGATGGACAGAATTCGGTCACTGCTATGCACGAGACGGATTCACGTTAGTTAATGACCAATTATCGGGACTCGTACACAAAAATGAATACCATTTCACGTTACCACCCACACCTGCATATGAATACATTAGAAGGACTAGCAACAAATCCGAATAAAATTTATAATACAAGTAAAGTAACAATATTGTTCGCAATTAGAGCACATCGTGTAAGAAATTCCTTATCATCAAAACACCCCATAAAAAGTTCATTGCAACTAGTTAATATCCTTGACACTATGAATATTACAGAAAATGTTGTGCGTTCAATTGACATGGAATCTTTCTTCACCAATGTTTCACTTCACAAAACTGTCGACTCCATTTACGATTACGTCACAAGCAATGAAATACAAGTGCCTTCAACAATCAATTACACAAGAGAAATTATCTTGACAAGTACATAAAATAATAAATTCAACACCCAAGGGAAAAGATACAGAAAACTGGTGTTGAAGTGGGCAGGCGTTAACAGATGTGTTTATATCAAAGTTGGAAAAGGAAATGCTTCACTAAACGTTATGTGGATGATACAGTCATTTTTGATGGCAATGAGTCGACTAACATCTTTATTACTATGATCGTCCTAATATTAGAGTAAAATCAGAATTCGAACTGAACAACAAACTGGATTCCTGAATATTTCAGTGACTAAGTGAGATAACAGAAAAATATAGAGATGAATATTTCGCAAGCACACATGCAGTGAACAATATCTTCATTTCTGTAGTTTTGTTCTTATTCAGAACAAATGCTAACCTTGTGAAATGTCAGTTTTCTAAGGATCGTAAAATTTGGAAATAATGCATTAACTGATGAACTACGATACATACATTGTCTTGTCGGTTACTGGATACCCCGAAACTTCATTGCATGTCACAAAAAGGAGAAACTTTAGTAAAAACAAGAAAGCCATCTTTATCAAACTACCATTCAAGGGTGATCGAATCACGCAACTGACGGCTAAATGGCTTCTGTTAGCTTTGAAGTGCGCATTCTACGCCGCCTTTCCTTTCCTCTCTCTTGAAGATTTTTATTTCCTGTATTTCCGATTAAAGGATGAAATTCTACGAACTTTACCTCACACTGTATCCACAAGTTCATCTGCAGTTGCTGGAACGCATATATAAAAAGAACCAATAGACCGTTTCAGTGCCGTCGCAAAGGGTATGTTCCTAAATAGTTATCAAGTTACAAATAAAATCCCATTGCATTAAATCTGTACTCAAGTCCAGCATAGTCCATCGCAAAACATTTACTAATGTCTGCAGAGAATTGCTTCTGTCAAAGTTAACACACGCAATGAAGAATGTGGTAAGGACACCATAAGTAGTCTCATTCGACAATCCAGCACTGTCTGATGGAATCCTGGAAACATCCTAACGGCCGGTAACAAAATTATGCCCTTGAAGTCGCTCCAATCACTGTGGAAACTATTCTCAACACAGTAGTTTACTTGCTAGTTTAAAGTCTAAACCACATGAAGCCAAGAACCCGTACTGGTGCTGGAACCATATTACCAACATCTAGGATGAAAAGTGTTGCGGGAAACTAAGACGCATACCCAGACTAGCCTGTTGAGTACCTTTATAGGAAGTCGACAAGAAATGATAAAAGAATAATCAAAGTTCAGCTATCAGGTGTAAAAAAAGCTTTAAAAAAACAAAATTCAGCCACACCACCCAATATTTGATAGGCAGATGGAAATAACCAAACACATGTAACTGTTTATGACTAATACATCTAGTGTTGAAAAACTACCCAAAGTGCATAAGATGTTATTAATGACTGAGAAGCTCAGAAAGTCAAACCACATACATAGTTTACGAAAAATATTTACCTGACAGAGAGTACCATCCGGTAAAATATCTACAGGTGGGCACTTAGCAAGTTTGCCGCTGCAATTAGATGCTCGGTGACATTCTCCAGCAGGACGACACATGTGAGTTTCTGGACGGTATTGACAATTCTCAGTGCAACAAACACCAGCTGTAGGTGAACACTGAACCTAGGTAATACAAAGAAATATTGAAATAGAGTACATATCACTTTTATTAATAATAACCTAGCAATGAAGTTTGAAATATGATAGCAACGGCGAGTTAGAATCAAGTTAAAAATTGAAGGATCTGTGTACCGGCTTCCTAAAGCTGTTATGCTTTTTACAAGCCTTTCTAGTGGTGTTAGTGGCCGATAATGGAGTTTGTTTGAAAAACTAAATACGCAGTTAATCACTAGTACATACTATCGAAATATAGAAACAAAAGCAGGAAATTCCTTCACATAAAAATTATGCAGACTGCTAACTGGCATTCCACGCAGTCCCACTGACACATGGTTTCTTGATGATGGTGACTGGAATAAACTGGAATATCTTTGACTGCTGGCAGATGCAGTCAGTGATTTCAGTTTGATAATCCAAAGAGTTTACTATCAGTAACTATAGCTAACTCAGTATTACCGCTTCAAAAGCACTTGTGGATATATTTTATGCAATTAAAAGTTTAGTTAACATAAAAGTAATTATCATAGATCCATAACTTACAGGTTGTTTAATATGATCAATGAGGACACTATTAACGAGTTTGCAAGGAGTTGATGAATCTTTGGGATGACAACATTTATCTCGACAACTTGCTTTAGTAAAACCGCAATCACATTCTTCACCCTCTTCAATTAGCTGATTACCACAAAATGCACCATCTGAACTCAGAAAACAATTGGTTTCATCCTGATAAAAGTAATTAAACATGTTTCACACAGTATGACGAAGAAAATGAATAATTTAATAACAAAGAATAACGAGGAAGTGTCTAGTTTTCATCATAAGTGGATATATCTACGCCATAGTGAATAACTTTTGAACCACATCACCATGTGTCGCTAAGATCCTACAGGAATATTTATCGCTCAAACGAATAAAACATATTGATGATATGTTTCGGCCCTACCACCCATGAGCTCTTTTCTAATGTTATCACGCTGTAGTTAATATATCTCATCGAAGAAAGAAGTGGTTCGGTATGTGTAATGAATTCCCGAATATGCTAAGTGGAAAAGCAGAATGAAGAACTTACAAATCCATGTGAAAGCATTGCTATTGTATCAGCTCACATCAGTATTGAAACGCTTTATTACCTACACGCTTGTTCTCTGGGTGTTTTCTATTCGAATAAACGGAAATTCAAACCAGTATTCTTTTGTGCGTCAAATGAACTGATTTCTATATGTAGCGCAATCTCACAAAATTAACTGAATCTTGCAAGTGACTAGAGGTCCTATAGGTGCTCAAAATTCAACCATAATTTTTCCAGGAGTACGGAAAACTTGACTATCCATAAATCTTTTTCAACACATAGAATCCATAATACAAAAGGGCGTTCCACCATCTCCCTGTGACAGTCACATTCTTTGCCAAATATTTACAAAACGAAACTATTCATCGGGTCCCAGTGGCTTAGTGGTATGCGAGCTCGCCTTGTAACCGGAAGGTCCTGGGTTCGAATCCCGGTGGGTGCGTACTGATGAAGAGTCCCAAACTAGGACGAAATAGCTGTCCAGTACTCCCAAGTTTTCCAATAGTTCTCTAACTAATGTCAGCTCATGATGAAATCCTGAAACTATTCAAAATTATTATTTTATCATTTTTAATTACTTACCCAAAGTACACGATCCAACAGTCTAGCAATGGAGTCAAGAGAGCAACTTGAAAACTTATTATTATTCTCTTTATCACCACTTGTTGCACTGGCAAACATAATATAATTGCCACGGACATCATCAACAGACGGTAAGCATTCATATGGTTCATTTTTATGATCGTCATCATGCTTAGCACCAAAATTATGCCCCACTTCATGAGCAAACGTCAGTTGAGATACCTTTAGAGCTACCTACAGTTGATTAAAAAAACAAAACAACAGAAATACAGTGACATGAGGTAATAAAAACGAACTGATCAATGAAAAAAATAAAGAGAATTAGAGGCAATTACCTGTGATCCATAATTCAAAAGTGTTACAACACCAGTATTTAAACTCTTATGAACATTTTGATTTCCTTCTCGCATTTGTCTGTGTTTTTCACAAACACCACCTGATCCGCTTAGCTCAGCAACCCATGCTAAACCAAGTGTCCCACCTGAGAAGTCTCTGTAAGTAAAAATATATGCCAAGCAAAAATCATCATGTTTGTTGTATGAATGTAAATTAAGGTAATTAGTAATGTCAATATTCGGTGCACAGAAAGGATTTTCATCAACATAAGATCCACCGAATCCCAAGCGATCAGTGTTATTCAACCGCTGAATGGTTAGATAGTCATAAATTGTTTCATGTGGTAAGGCGGTTGGCGATGAATAAGAATTATTCCTATCTCTGAAATCTGTAGATGTCCATGGACGAATACGACAGTCCTCTTCTGTAACATTAATAAGAACTCGATCAACGCGGAAACTGACACCTCGGAATTCCAAACGACCCTGGAAAAAAAATAAGAAAAAACGTTAATCCATTGAAATAGAATGAAATCTAATAGCTTCAAAAGTACTTTAGAGTTAATTTACACGACATCAGTGAATCTGTCTACCCTAACGAGATCCCTTGGTACGCCCAAAGATGGATAGACTTCTGTCGTTCTGTCGAAATGGTCTCATATGAGAACGCGATCATAGAGTCAATCACGAAAGTCCTATTCACCTCCTTCATGCGTTTTTCACCATAGCTGAAGGGCGGATGCAAACCTCTAGTGATTACAAATGCACTGGTCAACATGCTCGTCTAACTACGGGACCTGGAAAACCCCACCTACAAACCTATCGTGTACATGGGCTCCAGAACCCGAATGGTGTATGAACCCATTTCGGTCACCAGGAACCATGAGAACGCAGCTCCTATTACTGCTCCACGGCCTTGTGGATCAGGCCTCAAGTCAAAGGCTCTTCCTAAAATAATCACCTGCTTAGTTCTGGACGTGTGGGTAGTGTCCCAAGTCCTCACACTATTACAAGTTGTGTGGAGCATCTCATGGTACTCGCAATGTACCAAGATTGTGTTCTGATGAATAATATTAAACAGTGAACCTGTTGCGACTGTTTGTTTACATTATTAGGGTATTACAAACAAAAAGGAAATCTTCAGCCTGATGAAACCATAAACCAATAACAATAAGCTTTAAGAATGATCATCGTTATACTTAATTAGACATGAAACCTCAACTACACAGTTAATATTAGTTATAATAATGGGAAGCAAGATTATATTAGTTGCATTTATATCAGTGGTAACTAATGCAATACAAGGATTAAATGCTTGTTACTTTTAATAAACTAAACTCTGACATACAAAAATCCACACTAAAAATCATATGGGTGTAACAGCCAATAAATAATATTAGAAAAAAATGTTCCAAAGCAGGTTTTATCACATGCAGTAAGCTATGGGATGCTGACCAACTCAGTTTTAACATTCTGAATACAGATTATAAACTATCTAATTTGGTAAGCACATTGGTAGTTTGACTTAAATAGGCACTTTAGTAACAGTCTCATAGTGTGTATGATAAAGCCCTTAAAACGGAGGTATTTGTGACAAAAGCCTCCAACTTCAGAGTTAAATGTCATAGACTCAAATCTCGAACAGAAAAAGAATCCCCTTAGGAGTGTCAATATATCATTGACAAGAAATGAAAGGCATAAATAAAGTCAACAACCTCAGATCTTATTTTATATACCACGAGGACTGAAATCATATTTTTAGCCAGAATTTCGCCTACATACCCATCTGGAGTTAGGTATTCGCTCAAACGTTATGCAATATACACACATTTCAGTAAACCTTAACATTATCGTTTTAAAGACAGCTTTTCAATGTTTCCAATTCTGAAACACCAAGGACACAATAAACATAGAACAAACTTACAAAGTGATATAAACTTAAAGGGAGCCCCAGAACATATAAAACCATGACTAAGGAATGTAAGTAGGCCCATAAATAGTGAAATTAAGTGACAATCGCAAAGAGTAAGAATTAAATTTCACCACGTGCAGTTACGACAAACGATTGAGAAGACAATGGTGCACAATCTACATATTGTTACTAGCTTAAGGTAGAAATGGTACAGTAAGGGCGCTTGGAGATGCATCACGAGACCATTAAAAAATAATGTAAGAAGGAACTAAAACACCTACGGAACAGGGGAATGAAACAGAATATCATACTCATCAAAAACATCCAAAAAGGGGCTCATCACTTTATGCTACCTGCGATACTAAAAGAAACGATGGAACGACAGAAATACCGTAATTGAATTCGCTTCTGATGTGTATGAGGTGATGACTCAAACTTCAGAATCGCATAACCTTTCGGAAACCAACCATGGAGTTGAAAGGTACCAACAAATGCTAAATAAACTACCCGGTAGAGCCAATTCGTGGCTTAACAACACTTCTTTTCTTTCCAAATAGCCCCAGAGCTAGCGAGGCAGCTGCGTTGACATGACGTCATTGGTTAAAACAGGGCAGTCATTGTTTCTATACACGCTCCGTTATAATAGCTTACATGGTGTCACTAACAAGTGATAAATCTACCAGAAATAATAAAAAATTCACAGATGCTGCATACCTTCAAGCCAGAGATTCTACGCTTCACGGCTGTAGCAAAACTGAACTTGCCGAAGCGCTACACACTTGACCTTTAATGAACCAGGTTGTAATCATGACGGTGTATGGAATCCTAGTTTATCATATATGATCAGAAACTTCGACCATCGCACTCTTAGTAACTTTCACGAACCTATCGAGACACAAGAACTTTATGACCACTTCTGACGGTCCATGCTTGAGTAGAAGCGTAGGCAAACACTTGCAAATGGTGCGATAGGACTGCATTTTGACAGTGAAAGGCATACACCGTAATTATAGACAATGACCTCTATATAATTAGGTCCACTTTGACTAGACTGGATTAAAGCATGTAAGATATACTATGCTTACTCAAAGTTTTTCTCCAGGCGGTAAATACAGACTACCACACACATCCTTCGGAACTGTCTTCAAAGTGTTGTCAATGGAACTGTCAATGAGAAAGGGCGAAATTAGGCAACCCTATCTGACCATATTCTCGAATGGGTTTAGACGGTTGCATGTTCATACCCTACCAGAGGCACATTTTGATTAGAACTAGAAAATGTTGGAGAACTTTTCAAGGATATTACTTTGACAAGAGTCCCAAACAGGAATCCTATCCAACGGATCGAAGACAGCTTTGAAACGCAAAAAAACTCTTGGTAAGTTTAAGGATGTTTCAACAGGTAGGTCTATGGTCTGCTTGAAGCTCAATCTATCCTTTCTTGATTTGGTTTTTCGCGCACATTTTAGCTAGCTAAGAACGATAACAGTCAGTAGTTTGGCACTACTTGTATAAGAATGACGCTTCCACGACTGTCACATGAGTTGGGCAGGCCCATTTTGTGGTGGGCACAATAACGATTTCATTTCAGAATGTTTCTCAGACAATTTAGCCAGGCCCTTGCCTAAAGTTTCACCACTATTTTTAAAAACAGTTCATAAGTAGCATCGAGTTGCCCTTATTTGGCCTGAAACACAAACATGTGTAGGGTGCCTTTTCATAGACGTGAAGAATGATTTTGTACATGGCGATTGCATGAAATCGAACAACTCTATATCGATCACGTTGAATACCATATTTTTTTACTTTCGCTCAATTATTCTACCCTCATTGCAAAACTAGACAATAAGGGGGCAGTTTTGAGCATTTTATGATAAGATGGATTCATTGTGAAATGCTGTTATAGAGACGAAATCACAGGAGACTGAACGCCAACCCAGCTTCCTACTGTATCAAACTTATCCTATTATGCGGAGCAATATGCTCCCTTCATCACAATTTAACATTTCGGTACAGGGTAATCAGCACCTAAGTTGCACGGAAACAGAATTTATGAATTTTAGTACCTTTGGTTCCATAGATAAATCTCCTAAAACATAGAAGGACCAGATTTGCAGTATCAAACAACATTCTTTATCACAGGTTCTCATCAGCTACAAACTACCTGAAATTACACTGGTTATAAATAAGGTCAATAACATACTTCAATGTTTGAATGATACCAAAGAAAACATCTTAAAACCAACACACCCGAAATATAAGCACTAGTTTTTAGTTTAAATTACTATCAATTTATATGCTTTCAAAATAGAAAAGGAGAGTGGGAGGAGAAAAATCTAATAAACAGTGTCAGCTCGTAGGTTTACATAGCAACTGTAGAAGGTAATAGTTCATAAAATCGGAAACTTGTTCAGTGGGCTGAAATTACTAATGTAGATTATTAATATACGACAGGGACAGGAAGTTACGTTCTCTTAGCCGCGTGGAAGAAGAATTAAGCTTTGTTGAAAAATATCTGGGGAATAATGGCTATCCATGGGGATTTATCCGACAACATAGCAAAGAAAAGGATGAACTGTAACTAAAAATCCAACTGCAGAAAAAAAGTGTTTATTTGTCTCCTACTTAGAAGAGAAGCAGTCTTACGAAAGAAAATGAAAGAGCAATAAAAGCACGCTTCCTCGTAGCTGATTCCGTAATGTTATACAACACGTACTCTATAAGCCAACCCAAACTGGATAAGTACCCTACTGATATCCCCTCCAACAGCGTTTATAAATTTACGTGCGCTTGCAGAAGCAAGTAAATTGGAAGGACTGAAAGAAGGTCTTATACTTAGTTTTCAGTACACATCCCAAGAAATCTATACCTAAAAGGAAGCAGATATTCGCAAAGTGAAACTGTCAGACACTTTGTGGATACGGGCCATTTCGTTGAGATTTGCAAATGTTCCAAAATATAAAAAACACAAGGGACAGCAAATTTACTACAATTTGCTGTCAAGCGTTTCAAACCAAACTTACGCATACTGAAAGAAAGTGTAACCAGTCTTTCACTTTCACTATATTTTGATTACATTTAGTGGTCATCCACATTAGTAATTTCAGCCCACTGAACAAGTTTCCGATTTTATGAACTATTACCTTCTACAGTTGCTATGTAAACCTACGAGCTGACACTGTTTATTAGATTTTTCTCCTCCCACTCTCCTTTTCTATTTTGAAAGCATATAAATTGATAGTAATTTAAACTAAAAACTAGTGCTTATATTTCGGGTGTGTTGGTTTTAAGATGTTTTCTTTGGTATCATTCAAACATTGAAGTATGTTATTGACCTTATTTATAACCAGTGTAATTTCAGGTAGTTTGTAGCTGATGAGAACCTGTGATATAGAATGACATAATTTCATATTGCATAAATCGTTGTGTAGCCCTTATCTGATCGTTTAGCTGATTTACAATAGATTCAACGATCATAAGATGTGTTAGTGGTTGTGAAAGTATTCGTATCGCAAACTTAAGCGATTTCGATCTAATAAGGACTACATTAATCGCTTTCTTAATCGAATAGTCTCGGATTTAACCTATGCAGAAACCTAGATATTTTCGTCTAGGAATTGAACTGCTCCCAATGTCTCAATAGTACTAAAATAGGGAACTGAATGAACACGTCATGTGATTACTTCACCGACCAAAGAGGATAAATAACTGAAAATCGAATGCAAAATTGGTTAAGGAGCATTTTTGAACCGCTCAACTACGACAACAATTCCTGTGCCGTTTTGACTACACAATTGTCCAAAAAAAACTACATGATAAGACACAATTTCGACGTAACTCGCTCTCTATTATTTTATAACCTACCGCATGATCTCGAAATATTGCATCTTGATAGATTAACTGAGCACCCTGAACATGTTGCGTGAAAATGGAAGTGATTTCTTTGACAGCAAGCTCCCTATTACCTCGAATATGTCGCATATTTATCACATGGTCCCAAAGGTAAGTATCGGATTGCAAATACAGGTTGCACACCCGTGTGTTCGGTCCTTCACCTTTATAGGATACAAGAGAAATATTTTTATCGTGTTGCGATGATTGAAATGAGTGAGCCAGTGAACTCTGACGTTCTGCAAAATAAGTAGGATTGTGCATAGAAGCTTCCAATAAAGAACGACGAAATCTAAAAGCTTTAAACAGAAAGTATGCACTTTAGTATCAAAACGTGGAAACGTTTATTAATGCAGAAAAAAAATTATATATTTCACTAGCGGAAATCAAATAACTGGTTAGACTTAAAAACTACACCGTCTAATGTACTGAGTGCTTTTGAGCAGCTGCTTTTTTTCTTTCACGTTCCCCAGTGGAACATAGGGCTTCAAGCCAGTGGAAGATACTGTAGCAGTGTTTATTTTACAGGATGGGGTTGCTAGCCTCATGCCCAACCTTTCCTCTTTACCAGTCTCACTACTGGCTTAGCGAGGTAAAGGAGTGCGTCGGCCGGGGGTCGAACCCCGGACCATGTGCATGGTCGGCGAGCGTCCTAACCGCTATGCCACCGACGCAGCTGCTTGGGTGTCTAAATTTCCTTCAGATTTAATTATCATTCCATCTTCCTTAGTTTAGACAACTACCACATAGTATGCTGCCTCATTTTGGTGCATATGTTGTTCGAAACGGTGAAAAGTGAGTGTAGTTTACACTGTCGACGTCATACAACAAGCATTCAAGTTATTAGTGTTAACTACGGTTTCCAATAAGACTGTTTTCAGAACAGCTTGAAAATATGTATAATTATACACTTCTGCTGCAGCTACTGTTGACAAAGTAACTCGACAAACTTGTGAGTAATTAGGTGCAGAGATACGTTGATCTATTAAATGATGCTAGTATGCTATTATTATTATTATTATTATTATTATTCAAATCTTGAAGGTTCGCCATCCTTTTCTGTCTCTCTTGACAGCCTAACTTTAATAGCATGCGGTGTATGAAAGTAATATTATATGTCAAATGTTTTACTCAAGTATTCTTTTAATAGATGGCACTTATTTCGATTTGAATGGAAACTCCAATTTCACATGCCCGCCTAAAATGCCTACCAGTTCTTTAGTGGGAGTGACTAACTAGGCCAAGAATTTTGTTAATAGATTCCAAATATCAAAGTCCCAATATTATAGTAATGGGACTACTCAGACCATTTTTCGAAACGAATTGTTAGCTGGTGCTTCACAAGAGTTATGTTGCGGGTTTTTCTGTATAGTGTGGACTTTTATTATCTCCGCAAGAATATAGCCCAAGATACGTTATCGTTACCTGACACAAACTGAACTTCTGCGCACATTCAAACATATTTACTAGCTGGGTATCACACCCTGTATATGGTGTGGACCTCCAACCAGTGATCGAAATGTTCAGAACCGACTACCGAGCTTTAACTCCGAGTCCACTTTTTCGATGCCTAAGTTTTACTATTACTAACGGAAACGTAGTAATCAGAATGAGTAGCGTCAATAAAACACTGAGTGTGCAAAAAAGAATTCAAACTCCAAAATGTTCCATGAATGTTACAATCACACCCACTTGGGGTGATGCAAATGAATTTACGAGTTATATTTTTCAACCCAAATAAATGATATAATCTGACACTCATATTACCAGCAAGTATTACTAAGCTATGTGACAGTAACCTGAACGTAGCAGAAAATTACAAGCAAAATAATCAACAAAGAAAAACTATGTAACTTGTAGGACCTCAAAAGGAATAAACAACTGACTATCTGACTAAATCTCAACTCAGAAGTCCAGTTTTATTCGTATTTCAGTTAACAATAATACGCTGAAAGTCTAGTGAGTTGTTTCGTACCATCCACCTAGGCATATAGTGACTGCAACAAGCATAACCATAACAACTGCCAAACAGACTCAAGTCTGCATCGTGGAGTTCCTGCCTGACGACAATCGTACACACTGAAGAATCCGTGACAGCGAAAAATATCCGGAGTGTTTCTTTAGGGCAACGGCTAAGCTTATACACAACCTAGTAACGGACAACTGACTTCATCACGAAACGAATTCCTTATAACAGAAATAACGCTGCGGAAGTGGTTAAAACTTCAAGAGAATAGAAAGTTTATGAACACTAAACGGTCAGGGTAACCACCGACAAAAGCAGTATTACTGCATAACAACCTCTGTACACAAGGGAGATACTATGTATTTAGTATTTAGAAAGTAGTGCGAATAACAGTAAAATGTTATTAAGCATATACCTCGAACTTACTGCTGTCTCTCCATTTGAAGTCCTCAAGTTCACTAGTCCTGCTCATTTTCTGAACAATATTAGGATTTGATAACCCGCAAAAGTTGAGATTTGTGGATCCACTTGAACGGCGAACACGACTATGAATTCCAGCACCAGAAATCTTGACATCATTTGCGCTGTAAATGATAGAGTGGAACGGGAGGTCCTCCACAAAAAAATAACCTGCGGGTTCCACAAAGTAAGTATCATAAGATCCAGGAGCATGTAGTAATTTGCTTTTATTCAGGGATACGGTCCCTCGAAAAACGCCACTTATTACACTTCCGTACACAACACTATGTTCAAATCCATCAACGTATCCTCGCACCACATGTTCAGTTGCTGCATGAAGACCACCAGACCATTCACGACCACCAACAATTAACTTAGCATTCGGATGCACCACATCGACATCAGGAAACAAAACCAGTTGAAGTGATTTCCCATATGCATTAATAGGTAGAACAACGGGAGCTGACGAGGTACTGCGACGTGTCCTCTTATACAAACGGCTAAACGATTTTGGAGAGTAATCCAGGATGTCATACTGCCAAAGAAGAGGACTTTCAGGAAATGAGTGAGGTTGGGTGTATACTGCAAGATATATAAGTCCTGCGACCAACAGACATAAATGCTCCTTCGGAAACATATTACTCAGACGAAAACAAATGCGGGCAAGAATACGAACGTACTAATCACACGATGCACATAAGCATCATAGTGACAGCAGTTATTCATTTCAGCATAATTTTGAATCCCCCCACAGGAGCTTCTGAGACTATCTGCAGATCTTATTAACACATCATGACTTATTGAAACGGTATTCAACTATAACCTACTGCATGATGATACTCATTTGGAATAGCCCTTTCTTCCATCCTAACAAAGTTATCTGAATCAAACACTGTAAAGGAACCTTTTGAGTTCCCACCTTAAACTCAAGCTCTCAACATCAACGGTGGCGGCACGTTGGCTGAAATTTCGCTAGGTAAATTCATTTGCGAATAATTTTAAATGGAAAACTGTGTTATGTCTTGTCTGGATCGATGGGATATCTCATTTTCCGAAATAGCATGTTTGTGTCCGAGTCATGTGATCTGACTGCGGCACACTCTCAACATATTAATTGTGGTTGTTTGCCTTTCGTGAGAACTGTGTAGAAATATTGCCATAATGAACAGGATGGAATAATTGAGGCGTGGGATAATATCATCTGTTTGAATAGTCTACTTTATGTAAAAGCTCTACTGTTTGGTATTGTTTCATTTTATGAAGACTTCACATGTCTCAGGACATCAACACAGCCTATTTTCCTGTAAAGTACAGCATTATTTGAAGAAGTGGATGCTAGTGGTGCATCAGAAATACCTGCAAATGCTAATAGAATCATTTATGGGAACAAAAGTTATGAAATAGATGAGCTTTTCACCTTCTGTTCACATGTACAGGAATAACCGTAAGTTAGGTTAGCTGTAAGTGGATTTATTATGTAGTTGCGCTGGTATAGCGTAATTAGATTCAGTGTACGAAAAATTTCCCAAGTTTACTGATGTTGTGCCACTGTCTACTTAGTTGATTGCTGGGCTAACAAATATCGGTGATTCTCATGATTGTCGCAAGTTCACTGAAGTGTAAAAGGTAACTGCTCGTTTAATTTGCACTGGTGTATCACTTAATGCATTAACTCAAAACATGACATTACTATGCATACGAACTTTGTTCACCCTGAGAATCTGATTTAGTACGCCCTACTATTGCGTCGGTAGCACAGTGGTTAGGACGCTCGCCGACCATGCACATGGTTTTGGGTTCAATGCCCTGAAAACTTCAAGCCACTAGCTTGAAGCCCTATATTTCACTGGGAACGTGAAGGAATAAAAAAACTGTTGTCGATCGGCTATTTGTCACACCATTCCCAATGATGCTGAATACTTAGTATCTGTGCTTCAGTTTTACTTATAATCAATAAAAGGGATGAATTTGTCCTAAAATTTTCATTTGCATGAAGCAAACAGATTTAGTATCAACTTGTGGTCACAGGAAATTTTATTAATAATAATAAATTGCCTTATTCCAAAACAGTACTTGTGATACAGAATGGAATTTTCAGCATTTTACTACAGTATTGCATCCAGTTGGTACATTAACAATAGATAAAATTCTACATAGATTGAAGGTAATCTCAGTTAGTTAGAAAACTCCAGTGCCCGAAATGTAATGTCTTTATCGAGAGCTTGAGTCACACAATTGATTCCTTTGCAACAGCTTGTCAATGTTTTGAAATGATTTGTTCGTTAGCTAGTTCAGTGGAGGATCCTAAATCCTTTAAAATAAGTGAGTATGAACATGAGACTAGCTAGGCTAGCACAGGAAAACAACCTAATCGATCCGAGAAATTCACGGACCGGATTCAGAGTATTGAATAACGCAATAATATTAAAGCCTTCAGGAACCAGTTGATCTGCACATCTTCGTCTGATGAAAATAAAACTAAGCGCTGTGAAATGAAGAATATGCATAATTTCCTAGGTTGGTGAGGCCTTTTGGATACCAGGACATAGCGATGTCATAAAATAGGGAGAGCATGTGGAATACAAGCGGATTCTCCAAATCGCTAATCAGATATTCAGCGGACTACTGAGGCCACCCTAACGAAATCAAGTACACGTAAGAAGTGTTGTTATAACCATACTACAAGCAGCATCAAAGGCTATTGTAAACTGTGCACTAATATACTTCAGGATCATCAACGGGAGTTTCGACAAAAAAAAGCTACAGTTATACTGTAAATGTAGCTGAAGATTGAACGATCAATTCATGGTTGTTTCCTGAAACCCAACTTCCCTATATTTTCGCGGAGGCATCAATACGACAGTCATCGTCTCATCAGTCGCTGTTCAGAAAGAAGTCAGTAGAAAACCGTCAGAATCCTTAGCTATAACATTGTTTATATGTTGGTGTAACAATAAAGAATCCTCGAGTCACCAATTTGTGTTTTGGTTTTTTCGCCCGTTGTTACTAAGCGTTTCTGAGAAACTTCAAGGAACAGCGTGAGCCCGAGCGTAGGAAGAGCTGGGCATTAACGGTTTACGAGACGTGGCTGACAGTTTCTGACAGTGGAAACAGATTCTGACGGATTCAGACAGTTGATGACAGTTTGGATAGTCACTGCTCATCCTTCCTGGTGCTGGTCAAGTCCTCTTTGAACAAGCAATATCTGGAACGATGTTGGAATTGGGTCAAGTTCAACAATGGCTGGGTCAAAGAAGCGACAGAGCGTCTTGGATGCAAACAGGAAAGTAAGTCATGGTGACTTGTCTGTTACTTGTAAAAGTGTGTCTGATGTTAAGCATGACATGGTTGATGTTACTGTTTCGCCGTTCAGGGATAATAGGAACATCAAACTCGCTAAGTTTGAACCACGGTGTTTCGATGGAAACTCGGCCGATTATTTACAATTTGTAAAGGAGTTTGAGATCATTCTGAGTAGTTTTTTATTAAGTGACGAATTGAAATTGATGTATTTGATGAGGTACTGCACTGGAGTTGCTTCAAGAGCTATACAGTGCTGTAAGTTTATGAAGTCAAAAGAGGGATACTACGAGGCTATGAGCATACTACGTCAAAGGTTTGGAAGACCTTCGATGATTGTAGGGAAATTATTCGAGGCTGTTAAGGGTAATGGTGGTCAATTACAAGATGACTCCAAGGCACTCACTGAGTTTTTGGATAATTTGCTGGTTTACAAGAATGCATTGACTTCGATGAATCGCATGAGTGACCTCAACTCGAGTTTTATACTAGAAGTAATAGCAAGATGCCTACCTACTCGACTGCAAAGGAAGTGGGTGAAGATAAGCTCCCGTATGGAGGATGAAGGTATCGATCCAAAGTTCGATGACATTCTGAAACTGGTAAAAAATAGTGTCAATCAATCTATGAGCAAGTTCGCCAGTCTATTACATCTCACCCCTAGAATAGAGCAGTCTGAGGGAAAAACGCAATCATTGATGACGAATAGGCCTCAGAGAGGTGGATATCGAGAAGGCTCCATGATGCCTAGCAATGCATATAGACCTAGTGAGTGTAACAGGTTTCGTAGTACATCCTCAACAGATAAGTTACAAGATGCAAGACAAACACGGTTGTGTTTTACACGTTTGCAAGAGGTGCATACAAAGGTGAGCTGTGAATCTGCAAGCAAGATTAACGATAAGCTAAATGTGAAATCAAGGTCTGACTCCGAATTGTGTGACGATAACGGTGTGGTTCGGAAGCCTGTAGTTGCAACTAGTAAGCCATTGTTGAATAGAGTGTCACAGAATAGTTACAGTCTCAGAGTGCAGTTCTGACTCCACAAGTTTACAAGGTATTACTTGCCAGAGTGAAGGTATGTAATCTTTAGGGATTTGTGAGGAAGAACCCAAATCATCTACTGTTGTTATTAAAGAGTTTGGAAATGATGAAGTCGACCAGATAGATGATGGTAAATTGAATATTTGTGATAATGATCATGATAGTGCACATTTGTCCTTGGTAGATCATGATGAGATGAGGGGAATGCCTACTACTGCTAAGTTAAATAAAAGTTCTGTACAACTACGACGTGAAGTAGAATTGTATGCAGATGCAGTTGCAGAAGGTATGGATACTTGTGAGACCGTCAGTGTAATTGATCAGTGTGTAGCCCACCTATCATCAGATGCTAGTGCTAAACCCGAACTAGTAGTGAAAGACAGCAGTGGTAGTAATCTTGCAGTTAGACAACTATCTGAAAGCCGAGCAACAACAGCTTCTGATCCACTGCTAAGTTCATCAACTTGTTTCACACAGTCGTCGTTGGTGTTGTCATCCACAATGAGAAGGACACCCATCAACTCAAGTACCTTGTGCAATTACTATGATAATATTGGTGCATTTGAAAAGACGAAAGATATTGCTCAGTTTAGTGAGGATAAGCCAAGTGTTTACGAGAGGGTAATTGTTAAATTGACTTGCATGAATAAGGGCATTTCTAGTTTCAAGTTACTATTTGAATGCTATTATCTTTGGTGTAAATTACTCTGTGCCTATGCTTGGTTGACCAGATACGTCGTGTGTTTGTTCGTCATCTATATTTTACGATCCAATGACATGAGCGTGTTACCGTTCAGATTTGAGGATATAGCTGATAGAGGGAAGTCATCAAATGAACTCTGCGACGATTTTCCAACCTAGAGCGTCAACCTGAGAAGGGTTGTAGGCGTACTGCTGTAAGTCCTACAATTCTTCAGAGAGTAGCGCATCAATGAGCAGTCCAATGTGCTTGGTGTATGATCTTGTATATATGTTCATATTGTATATACTGAATTGATATCATCTTTCATCTAGCTGTTGGTAATTCTGTTTGTGTCCGAACGATTTCCACTTGGATCATCAACCTGTGAAGGGTTGTAGGCGTACTGCTGTAAGCCCTACAGTTCTTCAAGGGTAGTTCGTAAAGGCAGAATCCACCACATTTGGTGTGTTGATTGTACATATGTTTGTGTTAAACAATTGTGTGAGTTCCAATTATTGTAATTGTTGGTTAATCTTGTTTGTATCCGTACATTCTACAACTCACAATCGTCAACCTGAGAAGGGTTGCAGGCGTACTGGTGTAAGTTCTGCGATTCTTCAAAGGAATTCCATCGAGACACGATCTGCGAGTTTGTGTGTACTGTTTGTATATACGTGTGGTGTGTCATATCAATTGGTGTTATTTGAATTCATTGTGTTTACTCGTTGTTTTCGTACATTGTTTTTATTGCATAATTTTGTTAAAATTTTCGTCGTGCTTACTTCTGAAGTTGTTTCGAGTCTTCTACATCCATGAATGAATTGATTGATGTTAAGGACAGCAGATGGGTCGTATACGCCGGGGAGGCTAGGCTATTGCTGAGAATGAAATGCACACGGAGATAATTGTTAGCTGCGGTCCGACACGCCGGGGAGAAAGAGTGTAAACGGCTGAGGCTCGCATACATCACCGTTACTAGAACTGAGGCAGAATGAG